CCGCGCATGGGTTGGCGCATAGAATATCTCCACCAGAAACAGTCAAGTGTTTCATGTGTTTTCATGCTGATAATTTCAGAAAGCACTAAAACGGCCCCTTTTCCTCAACAAGGAAATTTGACCTCACATGGCTTTCTGTATAACATGATCTGTGATAGAAAGCAAAGAACTGAGATGGGTGTTCCATCGTTTATCAAGCTGAGACCTCATTTTTTAAACACAAAAGTACTCATTTCAGTGGATTGAGGGGGGTTCTTTTCCTTCTTCTTTTTTTTTTTTTTTTTTGGTATGGAGTGTTGGAAGACTGTTTGAGGCTTTGGAGCCAAATGGTGCAACTGTGAGATGCTCTTCCCTCACTCACACCGCATACCAACAAACCCAATTGCTATAGTGAATTCTGAGAGTACGGCTTCTTTATAGAGCATGTACCAAACTATTAACCTCTACAGAACTATTCACTATAGAAAACATATTTCAACCAGATTGACAGAACACTGGCTGCAGCTTACCTACCAGGTCAGATGTGTAATACACAATCCTTTGTTGTCCTGGTGTTCACTATAAAAAGAAAAAAAAAATGTGTCTGTTTGATGATTTTTAAAACTTAAAAAATCCATTTGGGTGAACAGTGCCACGTAGACAACAGGGGCTTAATACATGTTTGCACTAGCAGTTTCGAAAGTATATCTTCAACTCTTTAAGTCTATAAATTTCAAGATGGAATCTTTGCTTTAATTTGCATATTCTGGAATACTAATGAGTTAGAACATTTTTCTCTCTGTTAACCATTTGTACTTATGTCTTTATGAATTGGGTGCTCATATCATGTACACGTTTCCCTTGGGGGTGATTTTTAAATTATAGAAATATTTTAGGCAAGATTACAATGTTAGCATCACCCTGTTAGCCTGACAATTGCTTAGACTTTCTATTTCTTTTATCTTCACAGAGCAATGCAAAGAAATACCATAGTTTGTGTATGTTCAATTTGACCACCTTTGCAATGCTTTCAGTAAAATGATCAGACAGTGCTTCTGTCTCTACCCTAATGCTCTTTGAAAAAGTAATTGTTCTCTTTGAACAAGCACGGTTGAGTGATTCGTGTACACTTTGTGAAAGATTGCTTTTGTGCTCTGTGGTTGGTCATTGTTAAGAAAATAAGATGTGTCCAGTGGCAGTGGGGTGGGCTGGGGGGCCTGGTAGCACTATACAGACGTAGGAAGAAGATTTGAGTTTTGGACAGAAAATTGATGACCATACTCTCTCCCGTGAATAATTTTATAGCATTGATGCAATGGGACTATTTAGGCAGGATTTGCTTGATTCGAAGTCAGCATGAAAAAGTGAATCCAAATAGCAGTTGTTTTAAGCAGAACTACGAAATTATTATTCTTACATGAATTTACATAGAACAAAAGCTTTCCTGCACAACTGTCTGATAAACTTCAAAACCATTATCTCCTTATCTACTGTAAACACTTGATTGTTCAAATTGTGGGGCTGGAGGAAACAGAGGTATTTTATTGTTAGGTAGTCTTGGAAGAATTAGTGGTAATTAATAAACCTGTGTTTTTTACTGCCAGCATTAACCTTGTGTAGTCAACCCTCAGACTGAGAAGTAATTTAGAACATGAAATTGCTTTAGAAAAATTTTCCTGGGGCACCTGGGTGGCTCAGGCATAGGGTGTCTGCCTTCAGTGCAGGTCGTGATCCCAGGTCTTGGGATTGAGCCCCACATCGGGCTCCCTGCTCAGCGGGAAGCCTGCTTCTCCCTCTCCCTGCCGCTCCCCCCTGCTTGTGTTCCCTCTCTCACTATGTCTCCCTCTGTCAAATAAGTAAATAAAATCTTTAAAAACAAAAAAAAAGAAGAATTTTCCTGAGTAGGTTAATCCCTCTATTTCAGGGCTTCTCAATCTTGGTACTCTTGACATTTTTGCCTAAGTACATCTTAGCCGGGGAGAACTTTCCCGGGCCTTGGTGGGATGTTTAGCAGCATCCCACTAGATGAAGGTAGCACACACACCCTCTTGCGACAATGAAGGACGTCTCCAAACGTCGGCACACGTGGGGAGGGGAGAAACAAAATCCCCTGGGTCCCCGAACCCCTTCTGAGAACCACTGGTCTTTTTATTGCTTTTAACCATATGACTTGAAAAAGTAATATTTAAAAACTGTTATTTGTCCTTGGAGTTACTCAGGTAATCATTCCTTTAAGGATAACGTGATGTATTTGTGGCCTGGGCTTTGCAGAGAGGTTTTACCTCCTTGCGATGTTGAAAAACCGTTCTCTTCACATCCAGTCAGTAAACTTAATGAAAAGGAGATAGAAGAGAATATTGAATCGGCTAGGAAGGTTGACATGGCATGTATTGTTACTGATGCAGAAATAATAGGGAGTGTTCTGCATGTTAAAAAGTCAAAGTATGTTGATAAGAAGTCATGAAGAAGATGATTTTAGTGAAGGCTTCTTCAGCATTTGAAGTAATTAATTAGAAAGCCAACCATATTATCTTGCCAAGAAAGGGCTGCATTTTCACATTCTGCTTTTCAATTTTAGGAGCTAGAGACAAATGACAAGTAAACAAGTTGTTATCTGTAGTTTCTTCAAAAAAAGCAATTTCCAGGATATGTCATAGGCACAATGTGGCTTCAGCTTTATCCCTGTCCCTTTTACATCTGTGGTTCTATAAAAATGATAATTGATGGTCATTGAACGCACTGTGTGAGAAAGAAATGTCCACAAAAATGAGATTCTGTGTTCATTGAGATGACATATGTTAAAATTCTCATGTGCTACGTTCTGTGCAGGGAATACAGAAAATAATAAAACATTCTGCTTGGATATTTCATTAAAATAATTCTCTTTGAATGGAAATTTTCTGGTTAGGGATACCAATCACCATCAGTCTATTTCCCACTTTTCCCATTAATTCTGTACTTTTAAATATCTGTCTGCAAAAGCTGTTTAAAAGGGTGTGTGAGTGTGTGTATGATATATGTCATGTATATAATTTAATTCTTTTTAAGGCTATTTCTGAAATTAGTAGAAAGCTATATTCATTTTCTTCTATGCTTGTTAAAATCGTATTTAAATTATTCTCTTTATTAAATATCCATGAGAGTTGAATAAAACATGGTCATATATTATTAATTCATTTTTGGTTATATACTATGGCTCTAATATCCTCAAGAAGAATTGATCTCACCCTTAAGGCCAGAACTTTTGCTAATTATTACAAGATTTAAAACCATTTCGTTGATGTCTGGATTCAAAAAGCAGGATCTTAAAGTATGGTAGTCTTAAAACTTTTTTTCTGGTTCAAACTGATCAACTGAGGTTACAGGTAAGGTAGGGAACAAGTGAAATCTTCATGATATTGAATAGGCCAGAGTTAGAAAAGCAAAGAATTTGGGGCGCCTGGCTGGCTCATCCAGTGGAGCATGTGACTCTTGATCTCAGGGGTGTGGGTTCCAGCCCCATGTTGGGTGTAGAGCTTACTTTAAAATAAAACCTTAAAAAAAGAAAAAGAAAGGGACGCCTGGTTGGCTCAGTCGGTTAAGCGTCTGCCTTCGGCTCAGGTCATGATCTCAGGGTCATGAGATCGAACCGGTGTTGGGCTCCGCGCTCAGCGGGGAGTCTGCTTCTCCCTTCCCTCTGCCCCTCCCTCTCGCTCTCTCTCTCAAATAAATAGAATCATTAAAAAAAAAAGAAGAAGAATAAGAAAAAAGAAAACCAAATGATTCAACATGTAGGAAGTTAGAGGTAAAGAGCAAAAGTGGAGTTCTAGTGCTTGAAAATGTGTTCTTCCTCTCCCTCTCCCAGTGTCCACATTTTAGCAGTCTACATCATGAATGCACAAACCCATTCAGAGCCACCGGCTCCCGGCTCTTAGATGATTCAGAGACACTTTGGGCAATGTTATACCTAAGGAAACACAGGCCTGCCTTGTCTAAGGGATAGTAAAATGTTGTACTGTGGTGGTCAGTTTTCAGGGTAACCTGAGGCCCTTCATTAAATATTTTGTGTGGTCTCTGTGAAACAAACTGACCTGTTAACTGCAGGTTCTCCAATCCTTTTTATGCCCCCCCCAAGTTATTAGTGTAATATATACATTGGCATAGCTTGCATTTATTATTTTTTTACTTTTTATTTCTTAGAAAAGATGGAAATGCCACTAGACTCTAGCGATTTAACTGAATAAATCCCAAAATGATCAGTGAGAGATACTGCTGGAAAAATAAATGATTTCAGGTGTAAAAGTTTTTGTTCCATTGGGGGTTGATTAGAACTATAACTAATGACAGAAGAGGGAGCAGTGTGTTACTGTCACAGTTAATCTTTGACTTTTATTAATGGGGTCTTTGGAGTTTGGAATCATACGAGACTTACATTCAAATCCTGACCCAACTACTTTAATAAATTTGCGACCTTAGGCGACTTACTTTTAACCTTTTTGTAGCTCATTTTCCCTACCCTTCACACAAAGGAAATAATAATAGTACCTATTGCATTGGATGATTTTAAGGATTATATGAGATCATGTTTGTAAATTTCTGGGCAAGTACCCGATACATAGTGACTATTCAATAACTGATAGCTATTATTTTTATCTTTCTCAAGTTAGGTATTCCAAAGAAATTTTAACTGTGAATAACACAATTTGATGTTGTTGCTACCTAAACAGTACAATACCAAAAGCAATTACTCTTGCACTAAAAATACAAAGACCCTTTGTGAATGTAGTTTTGAACCAGCTTTTAGGTTGATTTCTCACTTCTAATTTTTTTCTGACCTTGAAAAGTTTTTTACAAATGCATAATATAATTTCTTCTAGGGTGTAGAATGGTATCAGCCTAAAGCACAACAAAACAAAATTCAGTATATCCCATAGTCAAATGATTGGCCCTAGTGACTGATTATTACTCTAAACAATGCCATTATTATGAATTATATATCAGCTTTTAACTTGCCTTTCTTTCTGATTTATACACATTTTCAGATCTCTAGTGGAAGAGGAAGACCAACACATGAAATTGTCCCTTGGAAGCAGCGAAATGGGTCTCTCATCCCATCTGCAGTCTTCCAAGGCAGGAACCACACGCATCTTTACCAGCAATACCCACAGTTCTGTGGTGTTACAGGTAATCTAAACTGTCCCTTTTGTAATATTTAAATGGATTTAAAAACCACTCAGAGTGTTTGTGGTGGGGGAATGTCGATAGCGGGGGGTGAGGAGCGTGCATGTGTGTGGACGGGGTGCATACGGGAACCCTCTGTACTTGCTGTTCAATTTTGCTGTGAACCTAAAAGTGCTCTAAAAAAATTAGGTTTATTAGTTAAAAAAAAGAGCAAGCAAACATCAGGAGGAAACCTTGAGGGGAAAACTACATACCTTCCTGATGTTAAAAAACAAACAAACAATCAAACCCAAAACCCAGAGTTCATTATTTGTTTTGTTTGTATGAAGGAGGTCTCGCTGTCGGCCACTTCGCTTACAGAATGTTATGTCTGGCAGCATTGACTTTCCATTTTTGTCTCAGCCAATATAAATATCCCAAATCCCTATGCTGAATTTTCTAGTTCCTCACTCATGACCTGCTTCATTGTCACCTTTATCATCGTTCTGAAGATCATATTTCTTTGGCGTCTCAGCTCACATTGACAGTAGTAGGTGTGGGAGTATAGATGAGGATGGCTGGATGCAAACACACTGGTAGATGTAAGAGGTAATAAGTGACCTCAGAGGAGAGGACGGAAATGCAATAGAAAGCCCCCAAAAACAAAAAACAAAAACACAAAAAAACTCCAACCCATCAAAAACTGCACCGTGGAGCTCAGTAGCCGAAAGATAAGCAGACCTAGGACTTCTGGCAGTCATGGACGCTCCCTGACCACTGTGGGCATGGCTGAATTAGGAAACAGCATACTATCGGATGTCCCTCAGTGTCTTCTAGATATAGGCAAATTAGATCAGTGTTCCCTCTAGTGAGATAAAGAAAAGAAATTGTTCTGAATGTATTTTTCCAAGAAATCTCCCCAGGTGAATTTCATGCATATTCCTGGTCCGTGACCATTAGGGTAAAGCAGTATATATAGTATATAGTGTTTGGTGTACAGTCCAGTATATAGTGTAGTAAGAGAGGAGTCCTTCCACTCGCTCTGCGGCTTTGTTGTGTCATGGAATTTTTCTGGGCTTCATTTGTCTTATCTCCACAATGTGTCTTGACTAGGAGATCTCTAAATTCCATTCTAGTTCCCATCTGTAATTCCATGAGATCATATCTTCCATTATTTTGGTTTGCAGTGGGAGCTGGGTTTTATGGTTTGTTGTCCTGTGGGTCTCATCAGCAGAAATGTGAGGGTCAGGAAGGAGAAGCTTGCCAATTCCTGGCATCTCGATGCTATGTAAATGGTTTAATTGTTGGCTGTTCAAGGCTATGGGAAAAGAGAATGAGGGGTCAAACCGATAGGAAAAGTCTGAGAGGAAGAGGTATTTTTTTGTTATATTTAAGTAATCTCTCTAAAGAAAAAGAGACTTACCCCCCCCAATACATCTCCCCCATCCATGCCCATAGTCTTGTGTTAAAGCCAATATGTGTGCTCCTGCTAATTTTTAAATGAACTTTAAACCAAATAATGGAAGCCACTTTAGTGTAGTGATACAGATTTGGGGCAGTGGGCCTCAAATTTTAGTGCATTTCAGAATCACAAGGAGGAAGTCTTGTTAAAACAGTGAGTGCTGGGCCCTGCCCCAGAGTTTTTGAATCAAAAACTCAGATACATGTATTTTTTTAAAATATTTTATTTATTTATTTGACAGAGAGCTAGCAGGGGGAGTAGCAGAGGGAGAGGGAGAAGCAGGCTCCCCACTGAGCAGGGAGACCGACATGGGGCTCGACAGAGGGCTCGATCCCAGGACCCTGGGATCGTGACCGGAGCCGAAGGCAGACGCTTAACCGACTGAGGCACCCAGGCGCCCCTCAGATACATGTATTTTTAACAAGTTCTCAGGTGATGCTGCAAGACCAGGGAACATACCTTTAGAACCACTGTTCTAGAGACAGGGTCCTTCTTCTGCCGAGAAAGGTGGCCTCTCCCTTTCTCCCTACTCATATGAGGGGATAAGCTAATTGCTTTAATGGGGAGACATCAGGAGTAGCTTCTATATCTATCAACAGGGAAATGCTTACATAAATTATGTGGTATAACAACTAGGTACTACTGTGCAGTCACCAAAGAGGGTGAGGTAGATCTGTGTGTAAGAATGGAAAGAATATATTAAATGAAAAAAGTAACAGGACAAATATGGCATATGCACATGATGGAATATTATTCAGCTCTATACAGGAAAGAAGTACTGATGCACGCTACAACATGGATGAACCTTAAAAACTTTATGCTAGCGAAAGAAGCTAGTCACAGAAGGCCGTATTTTACATGATTTCATTCAGACAGAATGGCTGGCAGAGGGAAGTCTATAGAGACAGAAAGTAGACTAGTGGTTGCTTACAGGTGGAGAGAATGAGAGGATACGGGGGTGCTAAAGGGTCCAGGATTTCTTTTTGAGATGATGAAAAAAATCCTAAAATTGACTGGGGATATGGTTGCGCACATTATCTGTGAATGTACTAAAAGCCACTGAACTTTTCATTATATGTAAGTGAATTGTATAGTATATCAATTCTATCTCAATAAAGCTGTTGAAGTTACAGGGCAGTATGTATTGTAGAATCCCATCTATTGGTAGAAAAACTATACAATAAATGGGGCGCCTGGGTGGTGCAGTTGGTTGAGCTCCCGACTCTTGGTTTCAGGTCAGGTCATGATCTCAGAGTCGTGAGATCGAGCCCTGTGTTAGGCTCCTCGCTCAGCACAGTCTGCTTGAGATTCTCTCTCCCTCTCCCTCTGCCCCTCCTGCTCGTGCTCTCTCTCTCTCTCTCTCTCTCTCAAATAAATAAATCAAACTTTTTTAAAAAAGAAAAAGACTATACAGTATATATATGCATGTAAATGCACAGCAAAAGGTCTGGAAACATTAAGGGAGGCTGGTGAATGTTGTCTTATACTTTCTGCTCTGTACGATCCTGCACTGTTTAATTTTTTTTACAGTGGAAATATTTTTGTGTATACCCTGTGTAGTTTAAAAAAAGATAATTGTTCTCTTAACTATGGGGAGAAAAATGAGGGTTGCTGGAGGGGAGGAGGATGGGGGACGGGATAGCTGGGTGATGGGCATTAGGGAGGGCACGTGATGGAATGAATGAGCACTGGGTGTGAGAGGCAACTGATGAATCACTGAATTCTACCCCTGAAACTAATGCTATACTATATGTTAATTAAATTGAATTGAAATTTAAAAAAAATTATATATATATATATATATATGTAAATTGTTGACAAAACCAGTATGGCTGGGTCTTAGACCCTTGGCTGTATTACGTTTTAGTTTAGCCTTTGTTGGTCCCGGCTGGTGGAAAGAACAATGATGTGAAAGTAACTAGAGAGTCTGTATGGAGTAAAGGTGATCTTTCATCAGCTGACATTTGTTTTATTATTATGCTATTTTCTGTGGTGGCATAGAGCAACCGCTTCTCTATCACTGTTGCCAAAGTTTGCTCTCTTTAAAAGTCCATTAAAAATGATGTTCTCACAAAGGGAGATTTTTAAGTAGCAGCACTAACAAAGAACTCCCCCCCACCATCTAATCTTAGGTGTATGGTTGTCAAGGGAACAAGCTGGAGGAGTGTTTAATGTGTAAATGTTATCATCGTTTTAAAATTAGCAATCACACAAACTTCAGCTTCAGAAGGAATTGAGAGTCACTGTCAGGGGAAGGGACCCATGGGGAGAAAGTGTTTTCAGAAGTCTCACTCTGCAGGATTACCCACTGCATAACTCTAGTGGGAAGGACATGAGTCTAGGCCAAACCTGGAATCCTAATTTTACCAATAGTTATGTGACTTTGGGAGCCCTCCATCCTCTCTGGGCCAGTGTCCTTATCTATAAAATGGGTAAGAGATGTGACAATTTATGGGAAAGTAAGGTACATCATAAATATCCATTTTCTTTTACTTCAATTTGAGGCAAACATGGAAGTCGTCGGAGAAAATGTAGCTGATCCGAAGTGATGGGTGTGCCACATAAGGCATCCATCTGGTTGGCTTGATCTGCTCTTGCAGATTAATCATTTCTGTTAAAGTGGCTTTTGCAAACTCGGCTGTCGAAGAAAGTGCCTAAAGAATGGTGATACCTAATAGATTTGGATTCCTAGAACCTTGAACAGATCTGCAGAGAATCCATGATGGAGTTAAGCAGTGCAAATTGCTTTCACTCAATTCAGGAAGGTTAACCAGGGTTTGCTTAAGTAGTAACTGGTAAAATCAAGGACTAATCTCATTTTCTTCACTCCTGTAGTGCTACTAGAGATATGGTTATTTCCCATGGAAAGCTTTCATCCTTTGGCTTCACCTATTATCCCACGTTGTCAGCATTTTTCTTGTACTGCCCCATTTTATGTTAATTCATTGAATCATACTATTCCTTGGCGCCTTCGTGCCTTAAAAATAACAGCTTTATGGAGATATAATTCGTATACCATCTAATTCACCCACATAAAGTGCACAGTTCAGTGGTTTTAGTCCTTAGTATACTCACTGGGTTTTGCAAATATCACCACAATCCATTGTAGAACCTTATCATCTGCTCAAAGAGAAACCTTGTATCCATTCGCAGTCACTCTGCATCTACTTACAATTCCTTCCACTAATCTACTCTCTATTCTGAACATTTCCTGCCAATGGAATCATCATATGTAGTCTTTTGTGACCAGTTTCTTTTACTTAGCATCATGTTTTCAAGGTTCATCCATGTTGTAGCCTGTATCAGTGCTTCTTTCCTTTTTATGACTGAATACTATCCCATTGTATGGTTATACCACTTTTTTTAAAAAAAATCATCCATCCATTGATGGACATTTGGGTTTTTTCTGCTTTTTGGCTATTATGAATAATGCTGCTGTGAACCTTCATGGAGAAGTGTCTGTGTGGACATGGTTTCATTTATCTTTCATATATACATAGGGGTAGAATTGCCAGTTCATACAGTAATTCTGTGTTTAAACTTTTGAAGAACTGCCAGGGTG